TTGCCATCACAGAGCAAGTAGCGATGGGTTGTTACCTTGCATGGGGGTCCAGTGCGCATAGGCTGCACTTCTGGACAGGGTGCTAACACTTGTTGGTGGGGTGGGAGAGCTCATAGCACTTGAAGCACTGCTGGAGCTGATGGTATCGTTCCTTTTTTGTTAGGTGGGGTGGTATTTGTAAACCAAAGCAATAGAAACCTTGTGTGGCAGCGAGTGTGGCAGCCTGGGTTGCTGAAGCTATGGTGGTGAAAGTAATCTTTATTTATGATTTGTCGGTGCTGCAGAACTCTAAGTTGAATACACCAGGTTCGGATTTTCGTTCTCGATATTGTCCTTGATCTTATGTTGCGGTTGCCAGGGATCCACTGGCTTGTCCTGCTGGTAATAACAGTTCTTCCGGTTAGGAACTGACGTGGGAAGTGAGGATGTAGGTGGTGCTCCTTGCGAAGTATGGCATCATGGATCAAGAGTTGTTCCTACTTCTTCCTCACATGAAAGAGCACGATATCACCACCTTCCTGATTAATGTCAGTGGGAGTGATGCTTGTCACGTTCTTCAGGACGTTCAGAATATCGTTTTCCCGAAAGAGTGACCGTCAAGAGGGGTAGCTGTAACCTTTAGACGTTTGGGTCCCACTGTGTCCACACCCTCAACGGGTCGCAGTGAGATTGAATCATCGCTTGCTGGGTATGTTGTTGTTCTTGTTTTTAGATTCAGCTACTCAGAACAAAAAGATCCAAGTAGCACAGGCTATGGTGAGCCCGTAGGTGACTTGCCTGGCACAAGAGTGGGGCTGGAACTGCCTGTTGGGTATGTTGTTGTTGTTTTTTATTTAGCTACTCGGAACGAAATGTCCATGTAGCACGGGCTATAGTGAGCCAGTAATTGAATTCGGTTATTCGTGATAACCTTGTTACTGTGTTATATGAGTCAGTTTTATATGGAGGTGGGGTTTCCTCCTTTTTCCCCCTGTTTCTTTTTCACTTCAGTTTTAGTGCACTGGTTTTAGTCTTGTTTTAATAACATTATCTTGGTGGCGGATGTAGATGCAGAATGCTCACTAGCGAGTCCCATTCTTCAACGGCTTTTCTAATCATTGTAGTCGCGGTGGAATGTGCATCCAATGTCGCTGCTGTCATTGAATTAATGTTGAGTTTGATGCGCAGTGCTTCAGTAGCTTCACATTCCAGTAAGTAATGAAATAGTGGCGCGTCTTCATCTGATCTACAGATATGACACTCTTTAATGGGTTCATTACCTCCCAGGTGCACTTGTAACCAAGTCTGAGTCTGTGTATGGCTACTGCACTGTCTCTGGATATCTTTTTGTCAGGCATGAAAGAGTAGTACCCAGTGGCTTGTTCGTACTATATCGCAGTGGACCTTTCTGCCGCTACTTTGGCTATGTGGCGACTTTTGATAGTTTGGAGGATTCTTTTCTTTATTTGCTTCTTAATCTGTGAAAAACTTGGAGGTATTTTAACCTGTACAACAGGCAGAGCAGTGGCAGGTTTTGCTAGTGAGTCTGCCTTTTCATTACCATCTATGCCAGTGTGACTTGATATCCAATTTAGGGTGATTGACAGCCCTAGATTTTGGGCTTCTTTTCCTATATGTAGGATTTCTGCGATGAGTTGTATATTATCTTTGAGCTGGCTTAATAACAATGCCTGTAGCGAAGATTTAGTCGATATAAATGATAACATGTAAATTATTCTCAATTGTATAATTTATGGCCTCCTTCAGGGTATATAATTCTGTGCCTGCTGGATAGCTGGCAGGAGCATCTATAAACCTGCGGGTGACGTCACACTGGCAGTAAGGTGAGGTATAACTATGAGCCGGAGAAGTAATGAGTAGTTTGTGTGTGCTGACAATTTCCTGGCGCGCACCTGGCGTGTGGGGCAGGGGTCAGTGGCGGAGCTCTCCAGATGTCTGGCTAGAGGTGTTGATGTTGTAGAGGAGGTATCATAGCATGATGTTCAGGGTGGTAGGGAGAGGCAGCCCTCCACTGTTATGCAGTGGAATTACGTAACGGTACACTTTCCTATTTGTAGGTATTCCTACAAATAGGAAAGATTTAGATTTCTGGGTGCTTCCCCTAGAAATCTAACATTGAATGTAATGAAATGCCAATTTCTAGGTGAGCCCTGGTAGCCCTGACACCCTTTCCCAAGGCATTGAGGGTGTTTCCATCGTCTAGAGGCAATGGTGGATCAGCTGGCTGACCCCAGGCTGCCTTCCTCCTCCTTTCCAAACAGGGCGACAAGGTGGGGCGAATGAACTCGTGCTTACTTTGTGAATTTTCAATCGTTTGTTTACATTGTTTGAAGAGTTCTTTTGGGGAGTGTTCAAGGATGCAGTCTAGCTTATAACCAGATAGGGTTTGTTTTAGGGCGCCTACCTATCTTTACACGCCTATGTGTTACAGGTTAACTTAGCCAGTAACTGGGTTCTTTTAACTCAAACTTTCTATGGGGCCTTATTGCCTCTTCTTACTTGATTTAGCCCCGAGTAATAGGCACGTTATTAAGAACTGGTGATAATAGTCAATCCAACGAGAATGGGGGTAAACAACACTAAACCATACCGTCATCACGTGTACTTCCTAACTATATATACACTTCTTACATATTTACATAATATATTATGGCAGGCGTCACTTTCACACAGGGGACACTACAAACGAACCTATGCGGTCTTCTACCCCGGCGAGTTCACTTCTGTCTTCTATCGTACAACACTTCCTGAGTCTGTCTTCTATGGTCCTCACTCCAGCGAGTTCGTCTTTCACATTAAATCATGGGCCAGTCCTCTACAGTATCATCTGTGTATCAAAACACCATGACTCTCCAACAACAATCAGCTCTCCAGCTACAATCTGGCTGGTCTCCAGCAACACGCTGGCTGGCTTCCACACGGGCTTCCATTTAACAAATCTTAACAGACTGACTTCAATTTCATCTTGTAACTCAGCTTGCCCTCCCGGGAGACCTCGGTCCAATCACCAATACTTTACTCGGTATCACAGACAAATCACAGTCTACACCTACTCGGCCGCTTGTTCCCACTAGAACACGTCAAGACTTCAGGACTGCCCTGGGTGAACTGATTCCTGTCGACAAAGGTACCACCCACCAACCCGTTCTCGCAAGTTCGTATAGTCAATATTGACTTATTAACTACGTGCATAGGTGATATACTAAACATAATAGATACCCTTAAAAAGCTTCATAGAAAACACCGACCTTACCTAACCTTGTTAGTATCTTAAGATAAGCATCTTATTGCTTCGTAATTACAATTATTACTTAACCTATACCTATAATAGGTTAATTTAATTAAGTTAATTTAATTTAACACTTTCTTGGAGTTTCCACTTGGAATTACGGGCGGTTTAGATAAGCGCTTGTCGGATCACGACGTAAATTTACGGACCGTGTTATATTGGGTATTTACTACTCGATCGACTTGGGGTTTGTATGAATATGTTTGCCATTAAATTTTTGTTTTCTCTAATAGGCACTGTGCCTATTTGAGAAAACGGCAATGTATTGTAACTTAGAGGAGAGACTATTGAGTTGGTGACACAACGAGGGCAATCGCCCACTCCACACACTCTTGTGTTGGCCGCGATCATGATTCTACATTTATATGCATATGTCTGTGTAGAGAATTTTATTCCGAAGACTATACAAACAAAAAAAACGGTGTGAAACAAGTATAAACTTGAAAAAATATGAGCAAAGTAAAAACTTTTTACGCTCACGGGTACAAACACGCGTAAGATTTTATTCGCCGCAAATTTATTTGACGCTCTGTTGGCCAATTCTACCCATGTTCTTATAGAAATTTCTATTGCAAACACATTGCTATAAAAATGAAATATGTAGCTTGAAAAATAATGTCAGGACAGTGAAATAAGTATAAACTTTCAAAGCGCTGCATCACAACAGTGTCGTCGCTGCTGAAATCACGGCTAACGCTTCGCCCAGTTCCCACACTCGTGCGGAATATAATTAGACATTGATAGGCATATGTCTGGGTGGAGAATTTTATTGCGAGTTCAGTGATATCAAAATAAGTGCTGTAGGATGACTGTGAGGCTGGCAACAAACGAAAGAGTATGAACATTTACTTCCTGTTTGGGTGTCACGGCGAGTCATCTTCGTGTTTATTTACTTCGTGGTGGGATACCAAATGCTTTGGTGACATTTTATACATATGATCTTGTAGAGAATTTTATTGCCAACGCATTGATACCAAAATGAAAAACGTAGCTCGAGAATTGATGTTAGGAGCGTGAAAAGATTATACACTTTTTTGTGTTTACGCTTGAGCGCGCAGAACGCCGCGCGCACAAGGCGCTTTTTTTTTCACGAGTGCCGCGCGCACTAAAGTGATTTATTAAGTAACAATTGTAATTACGAAGCTATAAGATGCTTATCTTAAGATACTAACAAGGTTAGGTAAGGTCGGTGTTTTGTATGAAGCATTTTAAGGGTATCTATTATGTTTAGAATGTCACCTATGCACTTATTTAATAAGTCAATATTGACTTTACGAATTTGCGAGAACGGGTTGCACCCACATCACTTCTGAGGGAGGGAAGGGAACTATCAGAAGGAAGCGCCAAGCCATTACGACTATATGGCACTTGGAAGGAATCAGAATTTGTAAGTGGGATGATACAGAGGTAAAGGAATGGTGTCCAATCACTTGGACGGTCGGGGATTGAACGCCGACCTGCATGAAGCAAAACCGTCGCTCTATCATACAGCCCAGGAGTAAAAGATGAAGACTAAGAATGACACTACACAGGTATTGGTGCCTTCAACTAGGGGAAACAGAAAATGGGGTCGGGTGTACTCAGCAGATGGCGTTGACATCGTCACACTATGATTGTCGTTTTGTCATAAATTCCAATTTTTGTTTAATCTAATTATCAAAATTATAGATTCCAAACAAACTCGTGTCATAATTGTTTTCTTCTCCTATAGGATGTGAATAACTGTGCTTTCGAGGAGGCGGGAGAGGACGCGGGGACGTGCGCCCTCCGCCTGGACGCCTCCCGCTTCACCAGGGCGTCCTGGAGGACAGGCACGGGACGCACCTCCACATGGCTAGGTGGGCCCTCCGTGGATGCCACGCTCAGCCCCGACGGTGGGTCGCGCTCCTCTTTACTCTCCTCGTTACCTCTCCATTCATCCCCACAAAATGGTTCCAGAGTTATTCATAACGTTACATCTAATGACAGACTTAAGGAACACATAAGAAGTGTTAAGTCTGCAGACACAAACAATGCTCTCTTCGATTATGTTAGGGATTCTAATCATCCTATTGATTGGTCTTCCTCCAAAATAATCTTTCCTGCCTCTACTATACACAGACGCAGTCTTGTAGAATCGGCTCTGATACACAACGTACCCAACATGAACTTGAGTCCTGGCTGTGTTGCTGTTGACTCTTCCCTTTCACAGCATATACTCAAATGTTCTAAACTTTCTAACAAACGTGATCTAACATAAGCCTACCCTTTCCTATTATCTTTCTTACTTTCCTTTCCCTTGTTTTCTCTTACGATCTCTTTCTTATTCCTATTATTATTCCCTTTATTACACCTTACCTTCCGTTCCTGTTGCCTTGCTCTTTCTTCCTCTGAGATTTCCTTCTCTCCTCCCTCTCTTGCCTATTTATTGCCATTGCCTCCTTCCTCTCAACACAATCGACTTGATAATGGTCCAGGACGGACCGAACCATCATCGTCTCTTCACTTTCTAGTGTGTGGTTTGGTCAACATTACATCTAATTTTTTTAACACTCTAGTTATTGGCCTAAGCAGAGTGTCTGGTTGTTGTCCTGACCAGAGTGTCTGGTTGTTGTCCAGACCAGAGTGTCTGGTTGTTGTCCTGACCAGAGTGTCTGGTTGTTGTCCTGACCAGAGTGTCTGGTTGTTGTCCTGACCAGAGTGTCTGGTTGTTGTCCTGACCAGAGTGTCTGGTTGTTGTCCTGACCAGAGTGTCTGGTTGTTGTCCTGACCAGAGTGTCTGGTTGTTGTCCTGACCAGAGTGTCTGGTTGTTGTCCTGACCAGAGTGTCTGGTTGTTGTCCTGACCAGAGTGTCTGGTTGTTGTCCTGACCAGAGTGTCTGGTTGTTGTCCTGACCAGAGTGTCTGGTTGTTGTCCTGACCGGAGTGTCTGGTTGTTGTCCTGACCAACAGAGCCGGTCGGCCGAGCGGACAGCACGCAGGACTTGTGATCTTGGGTTCGATCCCAGGTGCCGACGAGAAACAATGGGCAGAGTTTCTTTAACCCTATGCCCCTGTTACCTAGCAGTAAAATAGGTACCTGGGTGTTAGTCAGCTGTCACGGGCTGCTTCCTGGGGGTGGAGGCCTGGTCGAGGACCGAGCCGCGGGGACAATACAGCCCCGAAATCATCTCAAGATAACCTCAAGATAACCAGTGTATCTGGATATACCGTATACAATAACTATAACTTCTTCTCTTGGTATGAATGCTCTTTTAAATGTTCATAGGAAATTGAAATTGAAATTGAAATAAGTTTATTGATGTAAAATACACACAAAGTGATGAGGTAGCTCAAGCTATTCTCACCCCGTTCAGTACATCGTGTTAATACATACATATACACACATCACAAACAATAAACATATTACCAAACATTCTGAGAGATAAACATCTACATTTCCTCCTTTACACTAGTATGGTATCAGACGTACACACAAATACTTTTATGACCGAGGTATACTGTATAGATAATTTGCAAGAGACATGCAGATAATTCAACAAAAAATTACAGTCTTGGTGCAAAATTCTTATATCTCTCAAGAATATCATCAACCTTTCCGTTGTGACACATCCAGGCTATTTGCTCAGAAACAGTCCTTATCTCAGTGTTTCTATATACATTAATGAACGGACAATCAAGAACATAATGGGCAAGGGTGTGAGACCTTAACATACCACATAGTTTACACTTCGTGTCATTATCATGAACACCTATCCCATATTCCCAGTAATATTTGTACCAAAGTCTGAGCCGCATGCACACACAGTCACCCCAAGCATTTCTCCTTTTACCATAAGTGAAATGGGTGTTTTGACTCACATGTAGTGTTGCATGGTGTGACTTCTCTCATACATTATATCTCTCCTCTCCACTTCTGCCTGTGCCTGAACATTTCTGATTTTGCTTCTTATTTGTCTCATTGTGAATTCACATTCAATGTCAACTTGTTTTTGATGTGGCACGTTTGGCCAAGTCATCCGCCACCTCGTTGAGCACTATTCCAAGATAAGATGGAATCCACATGAATTTCACACTATGACCTTTCAGCTGTATCTCAGTTATTCTTTTCTTACAATCCTCAACTATAGACATGAAGACTGGGTTTCGACTGTTTAAGGACTCCAGTGCTCCTCGGCTATCGACAAATACAAAAACATTTTTGTCGTCATGACGTACTTCCTCCAAACACGCCAGAATGGCCTGCAGTTCAGCTTGTGTGGATGATATATAATTACTAAGCCGGAGTTCAATTATCCTTTCCACAGTCCCAAACTCCGTATATTCTCTTATTAGGACACCACACCTGGCCCTGCCATCCTCCGCCACCGACCCGTCACAATATACATGTAAACTGTTGCCTCTTGGTAACCGAGATATCATGCTTCCATACAAACACCGTAATTGTCCCGGTTCATGATGAATCTTTTTCACCTTGAGGGGTACAATTTCGACGTCTATTTTCTGTACTTTCTAGGGAGCAGACATATTACACTGTAGAGAGGGTTTACAGCATTCAAGTACATCGTTTTTCCTGAGGTCATGAGCTAATCCCCTCGTGTAGCGTGTCTCCCTCAGTTTCCTGGAAGTGTGTACGTCACTCAAGCAGGTCTGAACGCTCTCAAACAGCTTATCCCCTCCTTTTCTCCGCATGGAACGAATAGATACTCTAGTGTTAATGTCACGGACTCTATCATACACACTCTGTAAATTTAATTCCATTATCATTATTTCAATCATTGCATTTCTTTGACATCCAAGAATAATCCTCATAGCCTCGTTCTGTATCAGCTCTATTTTTTTAATTCTGCCTTGGCCTGTGTAAGACAAAACGGGTGCTGCGTAGTCAATCAGGGACCGAACAGTGCTTATGTATGACATCCGCAAGATAGGTTCCCCAACAACTTTACCAGAAAAAGCCAGTGCTTTCAGAGGAGGCAGATGGGCTTTACATAAGGTGCTGATATGATTTATTTCAGTATTTTTACTCTCACATGTGTATCCAACATACATGCCCAGATACTTGTACCTCTGAACACGGCTCAGTTCCACACCATTTAGAGTAAGTATTATATTTCTTCGTTTCCTATATTCATATTTGGTTTTGTCTGCATTTATAACTAAGCCTAACTTGTGACAGGTTGTACCAAGTATGTTAAGAGCAGTTTGAATTTTGTTCCCAGAAGTGCCTTGTATAAGAATGTCATCAGCATATATGATCGTCATGACCCCTGGAGGATACATCTCTGATGCTAATCTGTTCATTAATACATTGAATAAGGTGGGACTTAAAACTCCCCCTTGTGGGGTACCTAACTGAAACATTCGTTCCTCAGACATGTATCCCTGGTAATACACCTGACCTTTTCCGCCTTGTAGATAATCCCTTGTCCAGTGTAGCAATCTCCCTGTTATTCCCAGATTGGCTAATTCGTATAAGATTACTTCCCCATTGGCTTTGTCAAATGCTCCTTGTAGATCAACAAAAACTACAATTGTCATCCACATTAGACAATCACTTTAAGAGACAATCCGCAGTACTTTTGCCTTTGATAAAACCAAAGAGATTACTGGATATGTTATCACCTACAAGGTAGAGTAGCCTATTTAACAAAATCCATTCCATCATTTTACAAAAGCAGGATATTAAGGAGACAGGTCTGTAGCCTCCGTTTGACTTAGGCATAGGAATGATGACAGCCTCTTTCCATTTTCTTGGTAACTTTCCCTCTCTATAACTCATATTAAACAAATCAAGTAAGGGACTAGGTTTCATACCGGCTAAATAATTAAGAATGTCATATGTTACTCCATCTTTCCCCGGAGCAGTAGAGCTGCCACTTTTTTGCACTTTTTATAGCATCCAGTAGCTCATCGTGAGTTATCTCAGTGCATGTTACAGATCTTGTATTTAAGGCACATAAAGTTACTCCATTTCTAATATTTTCCCATGACTCAATGGTGACTCTCGTGTCTGCAGGTAAGGACTCCATACCAGCAGCATTAGCCCATTTATCAACTAACTCATTAGCAACCTTCCCTGGATCTTAGTGAGCAATGAATTTGGGCTTACAACCCCTGATTTTATTTACTGCTCTCCATATGTCTTTAAGGTTCTTAGTATTACCAATGGACTGAGCAAAGTCTTGCCAGTATCTGTCCCGCGCCTCCTTCCTCACCTGACATTCCCTAGAAGTGGAAGTGGCATTCCCTAGCCACTTCCAACATTGTATTTTTCTCTTCATCCCTCATTCCATTTTTTAACTATTCTTTATGTGCACTCCGTAGCATTCTCTCCCACCCCTTAACTTGCTGATCATTGGAATATTTAAATTTCTTAGGTCCATGCGTCTTGCTTCCCCTGCCCCCGTTATTTACCCTCTGTACTAATTTCTCTATGTTCTCGACCATGTCCTCGTAAAAACTATCAACGCAGAGCGGCGTGTATTGTTGATACCAATCTCCCATATTTTGAATAAAATAATTTTTCATGTCTTTATTAATATTTAGCCTTTTCCTTTGAAAGTGGACTTGTTTTTTCCCCAGTGGTAATTCAACGTTCAAGGCAAAGTGGTCACTAAGTAGTTCCCGAACAACCCAAGCCTCCCCCATAATCCCCTGAGTGTTTAAAATGCAGGCATAGTCAAGCCGTCCTCCTCTGATGTGAGTTGGTTCATTGTTTCCCAAGAGACAGGTATCTGGATGATCTTGTAGAAACTGTAACCACTTGACCCCATTAGCATTAATACTACCCACTGTCCCAAGGCTTGTGTGCCGAGCATTAAGGTCCCCAATGACCAGTGAAGGATTAGAATAAATGCAGTCAGGTAGATAGCGTCGAAGCAGTTCCTGGATA